TGTCTCCAAAAAAAAAAAAAAAGTCTATGAAGAGTGTGCAGCCATTCCCCAAACACACACACACACACACACAGAGAGAGAGAGAGAAAAAAAAAGAGAAGAAAAGCTCTTTCACATAATTAGCAGAGCTTATCTCTGGGTGGTAGGTTTAAAGTTTTTTTTTTTTTTTGAGACAGAATCTCACTCTGTCACCCAGGCTGAGTGCAATGGCACGGTTATAGCTCACTGCAGCCTCTAAATCCAGGCTCAAGCAATCCTCCCACTTCAGCCTCCAGAGTAGCTGAGACTATAGGCACGTGTCACCCACACCCAGCTAATTTTTTATTTTTGTAGAGACAGGATTTTGTCATGTTGCCCAGACTGGTCTCAAACTCCCGCACACAAGTCATCCTCTTGCCTCGACTTCCCAAAGTGCTGGGATTATAGGCATGAGCCACCACCCCTGGTCTAAAGATTTTATTTTCTTCTTTTTGCTCACTTGTGCTTTCTAATTTTTCTACACTGAAAAAAAGATGTGTAATTGGGAAGAAAAACAGGAAGTTTGAATAAAAACTGAAAAATCCTCTACTGAAGTGGGTAAAGCTGAGGCTTGCCTAGTGAGAAGGGGCTGCCCCCACTCTCTCATAGACTAGACCTTGGGCCACATGGCTGCCCATGCCTGGCCTTTGGGTCTGGAGAGGCAGTGTTTTTATTCATGAGTCAGTAAGAAAGGTCTGTTTCAGACCTGTGGCCCAGACCCGATTCTGTTGTCCAACTTGCCCATGAAGGGAGGGTTTGCATCCTCATTTTTCTGGAGGTGGAAACTAAGGTTCGGAGGGTGAGAGGGCTTGAGCAGGATGATAAAGGAAATGAGGAGTGTCCAGGTTCAACCTCTGACCCCAAAGCCCATGTCCTCCTGGCTTGGTCACGTTGCCTCTTGGACTACACTCACTGGGCCCAGGGATGTGGAACTGGTAGTTAAGCCCAGATCTCCCTAGGGCTTGGGATTTCAGGGTTCATCACTCCAGAGGGCAGTGAAGGACAACCCCTCATGCCAGGGATAGGGGAGGCTGTTTTGGAAAAGCCTCACAATCAGGGCCTCTCCTCTGGGGTCCTCCCCTAGCCCAGCCCCAGTGGGAAGGGCTGGGAAGCTCCTGGGGCAGGCAACCAGCTGGGTGATCTGCAAGGCTGCAGTAGGGCAGGAGTGGGGGTGGCATAGATGTATCTATTTTGCCAACCCCAGGGTGGCCACGGGTTCCATGGACATATCCATTCAGGCTGTGAGTCTAGGCATCTTGTTCCTGCGACCTTGGCCTCAGTTTCCTCATCAACCAAGTGCAACTTAGCCAGTGTTGTTAAAACTCCTGCACAGAAACCATGGAGGCAGTTTGCTAGGGGCTTCCTTTTGCTCTGTCTACAAAATGGAAGCAACGGGCCTCCCAATTGGCACTTGGTGCCACCGTTGGCCCCTTCTCATCACAGCCAGAGTGGCGCTCCAAAGATGGAAGCCGGTGCCACTGTCCTGCTCCGCCCTTTCCCTGGCCGACCAAGTCGGTTCGCGTCCTCCTCCTCCCTGACCTCACTCCCTTGCAAGCCTCTAACTCCTCACACTTACGCCCTGCCTCGAGGCCTTTGCCCTTCCCTTGCCGTGGCCTGGAAAACATCTTTCCCTGCTGGTCCTGGGGGTGACCCTCAGGTCTCAGCCTAGAAGTCCTTCACTGCTCTGCCCAAAGTAGCCACATCCCTGCCCTGCCCTCCCCGCCAGCCTCGCTCCACCCAAGGTGCAACTAAATACCCGTTTGGTTTCCTGGGGGATTTTTGTGTTCCCGAAAGAGGGGGTGCCCAGGTCTGTCTGTGCCTAAGACGGGGCCTGGCATTCAGTGGATGTCAGTGAATGGGTGCGGAGGCGATTCCCGTCGCAGACCTGGTGAACCCCACCAGAGGCGGGGGAAGGGCGCGAGGCAGCGCCAGTGCGCATGCGTAAGAGCTCCGACGCTGAGCTGAACTCTCGGGCCGGAGGGAATGACCGTGAGTAACCTCGCAATTACGTCACGGCTGGGGCTGGGGCGGAGCTTCGGCGACGCCCGGGTCCCCAGCTCCAGCCGTGGCCACCACAGGGCTGAAGAGTCACCGGTCGGGCGGCACCCGGCCTGGGACGCGTAGGGGCGCACGTGTCCCGGCCCGGAGTCGCCAAGGGACCCCGGCCCGGCCCAAGAGCCCTCACCTCCGAGCGCGCGGCCCGAGACGCTAGGGCGGGAACCAGGGAGGCTCGGCTAGGCCCGGGACACCGAGGCGCACGGCACGCAGCTCAGAGACGCCGGGAAGTCCAGCGCGAGCACAGCACGGAGCTGGCGCCCGCGGGGGAGACAAAGGACAGGGAGGCACCTGCGCGCCCCCCACTCGCGTCACCCGGCGCGGCTTCGAGCCCTGCCCGCCCTGACGCACCTTCGATGTCGGTCAGCAGCGCCGCGTCCAGATCGCACGGCCCGCCCAGCGCCTGCTCCAAAGCCGCCTCGCTGAAGGGCGGCTCGTCCATGGCGCAGCCGCCTCCTCCGGGAGGCCCGCCGGGCCCGCCGCCTCGTACGGTCCTTCCCAGGGAGCGCCGCCGCGGCCCCGGCTCGCAGTTGCCGCAGCCGCTCCGCGCGTTTGTGTCCTGCCCTGGCCTCGGAGGCGGCCCGGCGCCCGCGAAAAGTTCCACGGAAACTGGGTTCCCCCTGCTGCGGCTCCGCTGGGCGGTCGAGGCGGAGGCGGGGCCTTTCGGGAAAGCCCCGCCCTCCCAGATAGACGGCCCCGCCCCACCTTGAAAGAAGCGGGGGACCCCTGATCCCCGGTCTGCGCCACAAATCTCCCCTCAGCCGGCCCCTCCTCCAGAGCGCCCTCCAGTCATTCATTTTATCCAGCCTCGCGCACAATGGCAGCGGCTTCTGGCCGGCTGCTGCGGGAACGCGGGCAAGCCAAGCCCCCTCTCTGGTCCTCTGTTTCTCCAGCACCAAGCAAGAGAGCTGAGTGGAAGCCCCAGGCCTGGGCCCATCCCAAACCTCATTTCCTCACTTCCTAGATTTGACTCTTTACCACAGGACAGGGCAGGATCCAAGTTATAGGGGTCTCAGGCCTGCTGTGTTGTGAGCAGGCCTGATGTAACTGCTGGGCCAGTTACATCACTCTGCCTCAATTTTCCTCATTTGTAACATTGGCCTAATGATGCTTCCTCACGGGTTGGCTGGGAGGCTAGTGACAATGTGGAGGGGAGCATGACCTGTGAGATCAGCCTGCCCCCTCTCTGCAAAAAAACCCAGAAGATTGGCCTCTTGAGGACAGCAGTGGCCAAAGAAAGAGGCTGGAATTTCCTATCGTCTTCATTTGGTTTCCTCCCAGATCCAGCTGTAGGGATAGGATACCAGTGGGCCCAGTGCAGCTCCTGAAGGAGGAAGCCAGTACCCAAGGAAGACTGGCCCCAGGACTGTCTGACCCCAGATTTGGTACTTGTTCCCGGGAGCAGTCAGGATAGGGGCCACAAGGAAGAGGTGGCTGTGCTTTAGATCAGAGCCAGGCTGCCCTGGATCATGACAAACTGGGACTAGGTCAGAGCAGGCAGCCCTGTTGAGAAGAGGGCTGGAAACCAAACCTGGTTCTGTGGCCTAGGGACAGAGCCAGGTTGGGGCAGGAAGGAGGGATGGGGTCCCAATGAGGTGGGTTGAAATAAACCGGAATTAACATTCAGGTATCTGAATGTGATAAGGCAGTGAGCTCCCTGTCCCCAGAGGTATGCAAGCAGAGAGAAGCACCCTTGGTGGAGGCCAGCCCAGGAAACTCATCAGGGGCCTGGGCCTCAGGCCTTCCTGACCCCAGACCTTCATGAGTCAAGCCATCCTGCGGACGGCCTTGCTCAGACTCCAGATATAGCCTGTCTGACCACGCCCTAAGCAGGAGTAAAATTCATGATGCATTTTAGAAGGGGTGTGTGGGGGAGAGAAGCCACAGAGCCCAAGTCCCTGGGGCTCAGCCTGGACATCCAGCTCCCTTTGTTCCTCTCCCAGAAGTGGCTGCAGTGGAAAATTACCCAGAATAGGGGAGCCAGAAATCATAGGGGTCACCAAACCACATCTCCCCAAGTAGCTCTGCTCAAGGGTCCACCCAGGACCCACTCCCTCCAGATGAACAACTGCTGGAGAACACAGAGAACAAAGCTGGCTTCTCCTCAGTGCCCTACCCCCACCAACACTCTGGAGGCGGCAGGAAGCCGATGATTTCCCTGAAAATTTCAACAGCCCTTCCCAGGGAGGGGGTGGGATAGGAAGTACTGGGTGAAGCCTAAATACCATTTTCTTCAGAGCTAGGCAGGTGATCTGGGTTTGCACCTGCTTGCTGCGTGACCTGGATCCACTTACCTCACTTCTGAGTCTCAGCTACTGGATCTGTAAAATGGGAATAACCCTTCCTGCAGTCACTGCAGAGGCAGGGAGGGTGCTTTGGAGTCATCATCACAACAGATCTGCCTCACTGTTTTTTGTTTTGTTTCTTGTTTTGAGACAAAGGCTCACTCTGTTGCCCAGGCTGGAGTGCAGCGGCATGATCTCGGCTCACTGCAACCTCCACCTCCTGGGTTCAAGCAATTCTCCTGTCTCAGCCTCCTGAGTAACTGGGATTACAGGCACATGCCACCATGCCAGGCTAATTTTTGTAGTTTTAGTAGAGACAGGGTTTCACCATTTTGGCCAGGCTGGTCTTGAACTCCTGACCTCAGGTAATCCACCTGCCTCGGTCCCCCAAAGTGCTGGGATTGCAAGTGTGAGTCACTGCACCTGGCTATCACTGTTTTTTGTTTGTTTGTTTGTTTTTTGTTGTTGTTATTGTTTTTGAGACAGTCTCGCTCTGTTTCCCAGGCTGGAGTGCAGTGGCACAATCTCGGCTCACTGCAACCTCGGCCTCCCGGGTTCAAGCAATTCTCTTCCCTCAGCCTCCTGAGTAGATGGGATTACAGTCATGCACTACCAAGCCTGGCTAATTTTTGTATTTTTAGTAGAGATGGGGTTTTGTCTTGTTGGCCAGACTGGTTTCAGACTCCTGGCCTCCAGTAATCTACCCACCTCAGCTTCCCAAAGGGCTCGGATTACAGACGTGAGCTACTGCACCCAAACCGCCTCACCATTTTTAAAATGGGTTACCACATATGTAAATAGAATAGCTCAATAAATATTCACTCCATAACTGCAGGAGTTAGGGTAAAGGGAAAGAAGGCAAGACAACGTCAACAGGAGACCTGCACCCCAGAAAATCCAACCCCCATGGGGCACAGTCCAACGTGGGGGTGGGAAGAATTTTGCCTGGAATTACCGGGGCAACCCTCAAGGTGAGGGTAGGGGAAAACAGAAGTGGGGATCCATTTTTCAGGGGGAACATGCTTGTCTTGGCGGTTTCTCCCCTCAAAGATCCTGAGACCTCCAAGCAAGACCCTCGGGCCCCGCTTGGCTGGGGAGCGTTGAGCACGCCCAAGGAACGTGGACACAAGCCCCTCTGTACTGGTGTGTCTGTCGGGTCAGGGATCCAGCCTGGCCCACGGTGACCCGGGAGGGCAGGTTCCGCTCAGTCTACTCGCTGAGCGCTGGCAGGGTGCTCAATGCTGTTTAAACCCAGTCACTCCTCTCGACAGCCTCAGGCGGTTGAGGCTGTTACCATCCCATTTTACAGCTGAGTAAATTGAGGCACGCGGAGTGGGGCGGTGAAGCGACTTGCTCAGGACGTCACAGCACTGCTGCCCCTGATTTTGTCGGGGCTGGAGGCAGCCGGAGAGCCGGGCCGGCTCAGCACACGCGCCGTCCAGGGCAGCGGGTGGAGACCCAGGGGAGCCGGGGCGCGGAGCCAGACCAGCCCCGCCCCCGCGGGTCCGGCGCAGCCAATGGGCACCCGGCCCGGAGTGGGGTGACGCGGCGTCAGCGCGTACTCCCGGGAGCCCAGCCCTGGGTCACATGCGCCGCGCCCGCTCGACCCGGGAGGCAGGGAGGGGCGGCGGGGACAGGCTGAGCTCAGCCCCCAGGCCAGACACCTGGCCGGGACGACCGCCAGGTGAGCGTCGCGGGCACGGAAGGGCTAACACGGGACAGCCCCACCCGGGACTGCGTGGCGCGCCCAGAGCAGAGAATTCCTCCCAGGTCACCCAGCCCGGCCCCTGCCCAACCTCGGCGTTGCCATCTGGGAGATAGGGGTTCGCATCTCCCCGCTTCCTCCAAGCCTCTTAGAGACTGAGAGGCAGCTTCTGTGGGTTTCGGGCCTTTTCGGGCAGGCGTCCAGCGCGGGCAGGGCCTCTTCCCAGGCCACTCGTCCTGTCCAGCCATGCCCTCGGTGCCCGGAGCTCAGCGGTGGATGGCAAGGCGGGCACTGGGCAGAAAGACTGGATTGTCCACCCTAGCCATTGCCTAGGCTACTGAAACCCCTCCCCCCACTCCCAGAGCCCCCTGCCACCCTGCCTGGCCCTGCATATCCTTCACTGCTGTGGGAGCCAAGCTGGGACCTGCCCAGGTTATGGCGGAGGGACCAGGCTAGGAGAAGAGACTGCTCAGCGCCTGAGTCTCCCCTCCCCCACGTCTTCATCTGTATATAACGGGGTGAGATGACTGTTGACATGGATGATTCTGGTCGTAGATGATGCTCCTGGTCTCATTCCAGCTTGGGCTCTGTGGTGAGCTGGGCAAGTTCTGTCCAGCCTCTCTGAGCCTCCATGGCCAGCTTTGCCCCTGGAGGCTCACACCCACGTGGGCACCTGCAGGCTTATCATGAGTCATTGAACACACCCTCTACAAAAGAGCTACTTGAACCCCAAAGATTGCTGCACAGTGAGGAGTGTAGCTCACAAAGGCTGAGGAAGAGTGATACCTGTTCTCTGGGGGGTAACTGGCTGTTTGAGGAGAGGCCAATTACATACTGAAAGGGGTGAGTCTAGCTGGCAGCAGGGAGAGTGAGGAAATCCATGTAATAAGGCCCCTGTGGGCATTGGGTTTACTACCCACTACACCAGTTTACGGATCAGGATCAGGAGAGTAAAGAACAGAGTGAGACGGTGACTTACCCAACACCTACAGTTAAGCCTGCAACCCCAGGTAGGCATGGGGTGGACAGGAAATGGCACCAGACAATGGAGTCCACTCAATTTCCGGAAGCATCCTGCTTACTCCCTAGTGCTGAGAGTAGAGATTTTGCATCCTGGAATGTTGAGGGCCTGGGCTTGGAGGCCCTAGACAGACTCATCTGGGGTCTGCTCCAAAAGCTCTGACAGGGGCTCCTGTAAAATAAACTGATAGAATTTCTGGGTGGGTCATGCAAACCTAATAAGGTCTCAGCTTCTGCCATTCCCCTGCCCCCAGGACCCAAAAGAGACCCATTTCTTGGAAAACAGGTGGGTTGGAAAAGAATCCCTCTTTCTCAGGTGCTTTCATGGGCAGGTGCATCGTGAACAGTGATGGGACCACAATGTTCCCACACTGCCCCTCCCAGATCTCTAGGGATGGAAAACAGTTCTCATGGGGCTCTAAGGACAGAGCCTTCCATCCAAGGGGTGAGGAGGCAACGCTGGGAGAGTCCAGAAGTTTGTCTGTGTCCAAGTCTGTGCCCTCAGTGTGTCACTCCCATCTCTGGCCCCCTCCATCCACACTGCAGTGACCATCTATTGTTTGTGCTTGCCCAGATTTCGTTCTTCCTCTGCTAAGAGCCTGATTTTCAGGGTGGGTTCCGGGACTTTGGCTGGAACTACTGTATTGGGAAGAGGCACCCTCTCTCTGCCAGCAGGATGTCTGCCTAGAGCTCCAGGTAGCCTGCAGTCAGCCACATGGAAGAGCCAACCCAGAGGAGGCAGAACCAAGACTTAGACAGACAGATTCCTGACCAAATTCACAAGCACCTGGATCCAGCTGTGCCTGAAGCTAATTCAGTTACATAATTCTATCTACCTAACACATTCTTCTGATTAAACAGTTTCTTCCACAACCAAAAAATGTCCAATGTGTCATCTCTAAATGAGGACTTTGGGCCACAAACTGCCTCCTTTTGGCAAAGAGGTCCTGATGCTACTCTACTCAAGCATTTCCCCAATTTCTTTTCCCACAGAGCCCCTCCTTGATCAGAACAGCTGTGAATGTATTGGGAGAGCACACTTCAGCAAGTGCCCTCAAGTCGGTTGAGTCAGAGTTGCACAGCCACCCTCCTGTTCCCGTGCAGCTGGCCTACCCACAGGCTCCCACAATGCACACCTCAAGTGTGCAGCTTCAGTGCCCTGGGGCTCAGCTCAGAGCCTCCTCTCCCTGCAGGCCCTGGAAGAGGGCTACGACACTTACTGACTGCAGACTCCCCTTGACTCTGGGAATGGACCCAGGCTGCGCGTTCCCCAAGGGCAGGTCTGGAGCAGCCTTCTCCCTCCCCTCTGGCATCAGCCTGGCACACAGCAGGCTCTCAGGAACACTGCTGAAAGTACAAGTGGCCTAGGTGTCCTGGTGATCCACAGTGGTGCCTCAGGACCAATCTACTCTCCACAGGGTAAGGATAGAGCTCAGGCCTCTTTCAGTGCTCACATTGCCTGCTACAGGGCTGGGGGCACATAATGAGACAGGGTCTATGCTGTCTGTTCAAAAGGGACCTGGGTTTGCAGCCCCCCACCCCCACTTCAGAAGCCCACTCCCCTTCCCCCCTGGGTGTGGGAACCTCTCTCTCCCTCCAACTGGTCGGAAACAGGGCTCTGCAGAGCTCCCTGGAGCCCAGGGAGGCAACTGGCCAGAGGGAGCTGGGTGCTGCCCCTTCTGGCTACGACTGGTGATGGTGGTGGTGCCAACACAGCCCCTGCCGTGACCTGCCTCATATCAGTGGGCAGGAGAGCCCCTCCTGAGCCACCCTCCCAGAGGGCTGCTGCCAGCTTCATCTGCTGGCCGTGGAAGTGGTGTCTTTCCTGCCACTCCATGGCCCTGTCTGGGAGGTCTGTCTCTGGGTTGGTTGCTGGTTCTGCCACTACTCTCTGTGTGGCCTGGGGCAAGCGTACAGCTCTTTCTAGTCCTCCATGTCTTCTCTGGCATAGCAAGAGGTTGGCAAGATCTCCAGGTTCATCAGGGGTTTGCCGAGTCCACCCTGACTTGAGGTCTGTCCTTAAGCCCCAGCGAAGGGATTAAAGGGCCCTCAGCCTCCTAAGCCACCTGGAGAAGGCACAGGTTCCACAGGCTCCCACAGTGCACCCCTTATGACCCCCTATGTCTCTGCACCTGAGGGGCCTCCTTCCGGGAGGACGGCTGCCTTACAACAAAGGGCTGTAGGCACCCACCTCCAGGACAAGGGGAGAGGGGAAAAGAAGCCTGTTTAGAAAGGGAGAGCAGGCTGCAAGGATGGGAGGAGACAGGTTTCTTTTTGGGGGGATAAAAATGTTCTAAATTTGGTTGTGGGGAGGATTGCCCAACTCTATGAATATTCTGAAGACTACTTAATTGTACACTTTAAATGGGTAAACTGTATGCTATGTGAATTAAATCTCAGTAAAGCTGTCAACAAAGAAAGTGTGAAGTCCACCTGGCTTGGAGCAGCACTTCTCAAATTCAGTGCCCCGCACAGGCTCTGCCGATGATGCCCAGCCCAGCTGTGGGAGCCCAGCTGAGGGTGGGGGCTGGGAATTAGAGGAGGTTGGGGCTGGCTCAGGCCTGCTTGCTCAAGGCCTGAGTGCCCTGGGCAAGGATGAGTGGCCTCCTCCTGCCCATCTGGGACCTGGGATGAGACCTAGGAACAACCACCGCACTTGGTCCTAGAGCTCTCAGGCAGGTTGTGGCAGGTTCACAGCTGCTCCCACTGACGCCACAACCTAGGCCATGCACAGGGATTTTCCCGGCCAGGTAACGGGCTGCTCAGGCAGCCTGGGCACTGGGGAAGGGTGGACGGAGGGTCCCCATGGCCACCTCTGCTTAAAGAAAGCAGGTGGTCAAAACTGGCAAGCCCTTCGGACAGTCGTAGACAGTTCAACAGACCACACAGGCACAATTTGTTCAATTATTTATTTATTGTGGAGTATTTTACATGCAAGAACCCAACTAGAGAGAGGGTATCTGGAAGGAGGGCCAGTGGGGTGGATGGATGCTCTGAGCCTCGGGTGCACTGACCCACCCTCCAGAACCAGCTCTGCCCACAGAAACACATGACAGTGACAAGAACACTAAACTTCTAGGACGAGTGGACAGCAAATGCAACATTCAACACATTCCTCTTTTCAGGTAGCCCCCAACAATCCTGAGAATCCTCACAATTAAGTGCAAACTTTAGGAAATAAATATCTGTCCCCCTCTCCGGGAGAGCCTGGAGGCATGGACAGACAGAAGCAGTTCTGACTCAGGGGCTGATGGCTGCTCCCGGCAGCTGGTGGCTGCACGAAAGCCTGTCTTGGACCCCACAGATAGGAACGGCTGGTGATGGGCACTGGGGGAGGCAAGCACTTCAGGGGCTGACAGGCAATGTCTCTGGGGTGGAAACACTTCTCTCTGGGTGGGGAAGACTGGCTGTAACCCAAATGGGTGAGATGTCCCCACAGCCGACAGTGGAGAGGCTCCTGGGGGCCACCCCAGCAGTGCCAGAGGCTGAGGCCAGGCTGCAAGCAAGCGCTCCTTCGCACTGCTCTTCCAGAGCTGCCCAGGGGCTGGCCTGGCCCCAGGTGGGCCCATGGCCTACCCCGAGCCATCCAGAAGGCTGGGCCCCTCTGAGTTGGAGATGTGTGTCTGCGGGGACCCAGGATGGGGTGTGGCAGTGGGAAGGAGGGGGGCAGGAGCGTGGGCATTGGCAGCAGCTGCCCTGTGACCATCTGTTGCCCCTGGGCCATGCAGAGCCCTTGCCCCAACTCTCCTAGCTGGGTCCTCTCCTCCCCAGGGGCTGCAGTGACAGGCCCCAAGACTACCAGGTGGCAGGGTGGGGAGGTGGGGGAAGGCCAGTGAACCAAGGCACCATCACTCGCGTGGAGGCGCTAACAGAAAGACAGGAGGACAGCTGGATGCTCACCTTTCCCTCCGGCCCAGGCCAGCAATAACCCCTTAAGGCTCCAAAGCCCCTTGTCCCATGCACGCTGGTAAGCGAGCCGGTCATTCTCTCAGCCTGGCCACAGTTGGTCTGCTCAGTGCCTGCAGGCTGCCCAGGCAAGGCCACTCTGTGGCAGGCGGGCCGAAGGCCCACGGTGCCGGGGCCCAACTGCACATGGCGCCATTCTCTGCTGCCCACTGGCCAAAACGGTGGGCAGGAGGGAATGGCTAGTTTTCACATCTCAGCACACAATGAACAAAGAAAGGGTTAAACACATTCCCAAGAAAATATTTTGACAAAATAAATATTTTAACCTATAATCAGGTATAATTAGTGCTTATGAGGAATCCCAGCAATAATTTAGTGTAATTAAGTATATACTGTATCTGTGATTTCTAACACTCACGGAGAGGCTGGTGGGCCTTGAGAGTCCAGGTTTCCTGACAGGGTCGCGCCCCCTTCCTGGACCAGGCAGCCTGAGGACTGTGCTCCCCAGATGGTGGAGTCTGGGAGCAGAGACCTCAGGACAGGACATCTCGCCAGGGCTGAGTGGAAGCCCCTCTGGGGCACCGGGGCTGTACTTGCTTCCTGTGCAGGTCTCAAGCAAGAGTCCCCTCTGCCTACAGGTGGGGAAGGCTACCTCTGGATAGGAGCTGCAAGTAGGCGCTGGAAAGCCACCCGAGGGGTGGCTCCAGGCCAGGAAGGCAGGTGATACTTGTCAGCATGGCCAATGGCCTCCTGCCAGCCCATACAGGTCCACCACTCCCTGCTGCCCCTGGGGCAGCCAGGCCTCTCCAATCATGGCTGGCAACCAGCTGGCGCTGGAGCCAGAGCGGGAGCTGGAACTGGGGTGGGGCAGCTCTGGGCGTGGGTATGAAAAACAGCTTTGCTGGGGGCTCCCCAGGAGGGCACCTATCCTGGCTTCACGCACTATGGAAGCCCTGCTCCTTTCAGAGCCTCCAGGCTCCTGACCTTTCGGGACTCCCCGTTCCGTGAGGCAGGGATGCTGGCTCTTCCCTCCGAGGACACTGGGTCTCGGCTACAGTGCTGAGGTTGCAGAGCACTGACTGCCCAAGGTCCGGCCACCCACCACCCGCAGGCCCAGCTCTGGCAGGGCCTCAGAGACAACCCAAGTCACAACCCAAAGGCAGCCAAAGGGCTGGGGCCTCTGGGTGCACCTGGGCCATCCCAGCCACCTTTTCTGCAGCTCAAGTGAAGCCAGCTGACTTCAGAAGTCTTCACATTCAAGCTGGCCTCAGGGAGGTCTGTCTCTGAGAAACATTGAGGAGAGAGGCAGGGGCTAGAATCAGGCTGGCCAGGCTCCATGGAGGAGCTTCCTGGGTAAACCTGAGGAACTGGAGTGTGACATCCCTGCTAGTCCCACCCTCAGCCAGACCGAGGTCTCCTATCTGGAGGAAGCTGGAGGGCTGCTGGCCTGGCATGGGGTCCTGGGTCGGGCAGCACTTGCTCTTCACTAAACAGTTCCTGTTGGTGCTCAGCATGGCTCCCAGCTGAAGTCACCATCCTGAATGCTCCCCAAAGACTGTGTCACTGGTCTCTTCTCCTGTCAAGCATAGCCCCCTTTCCCTGCTTGGCTGGTGGTCTGGGCCATCCTGCCAGGTGGGAAGGGCTAACTACACCATGGGTCAGGAACCTGTGCTGACTTAGGCAGTGCATGCTGGAGGGGACAGGAACAGACTGACCCAGTGAGCTGGGCCCAAGACGCACGGGGGTGTGCACAGCTGCAGCATTCTCCTTCTTCTGAGCAATAGCAGCTTGGTGAGAGGTGTGGGGGAGGTGTCTGGCTGGACCAGCACCTGGGATAACCCATGAGTCCCATGCCCATGGCCAGGAGACACACCAGTGAGGACACGGGATGGGAGTATATGTTACCAGCCCCTAGCTGCTCTGCCTGCCTTCAGGATCAGCTTGGGGAGACAGTATAAATTGGTGGCCAGAGGACCTCTGAGGTGGGAGGAGGCCAGGCTGTCAGGACAGTCTGTGCAAGCAGGCCAAGGCCGATGCCAGGGAGCAGTGCAGGGGCCTTAGTGCTGCTCAGGCCTCTCAGTCATTGGGAACCTCCAAGCGTGCCGCAAAGCTGTTTACTGCTGGCTCTGGAGGCAGAGGTGCGAGGCTACGATAGGCCAGGCCACAGCCTTGAGTGTGGCCCATGTGCACACCTGCGACACTTCCCCAGGCAAGCCAGAGCAATGCCTCCAATGCAAGCCCCTCCACAAGCCAGGGCCAGGTGTGTGGGTGTGAGCCTGCAGTGTGTGCATGGCAGTTTGGTTTACTGGTAGTGTTGTCTCAGCAGCGTGCCACATGGCCACCATCTGCGGGCTGCCTGCTGCCCTCCCAATTGTCCTTGGCCCTCTCCCTGCCCTGGGAGCCTACAGGGCCCCTTGGTTCCAGGCTCGGCTACTGAGCCAGCTTGGGTGTGAAGCCTGCGCTGGCAGCTGAGTGATGGAGAGAGGGTCAAGAAGGTGAGAGACCCCCCATGGACACCCAGCAGAGCCTTCTCAAATGCCGATAAGCCAAACGTCACAAAGTGACAAGTCCAAGGAGGGAGACCAGGCCCCAGGTGGGTGCAGCGCACCCTGCTCTTCCAGAGATGCCGCAAAGCCCCTTCGGGGAGAGAGGTGCCCAGGTGGGCAGAATGCCTGAGAAGGTTGCTGAGCCAGGCAGAGGTGAGCACAGGGCAGGGCCAGGCCTGCTCCTTCTCCGTGGGTGGGTGGAGGAAAGACAGTCCGGGTGGTCTGCTCAGGAAGTGCTGCCTGGGGCTGGGCCACTCTGCCCACTCTTCCTTGGAGGAAACATGGGCAGAGGGGCCCGTGGTGGGAGGGAAAGGAGTCTCTGGCTGCAGCTGCCCCACCACTCAGAAAAGAAGGTGGCTAAAGCTGGTCCTGACTAGTGGGAGGCCTGGGAGCAGACACGGTGGCATTTCCATGGAGACACAGGTGTGCAGGCCGTGTGGAGCTGGGGATGTAGGAGTGGCCAGTGCCTGGTGTCCATGGGGTGTGAGTGGGGACCCGCCATCTGGGGAGGCAAACCACAGAGCCGCTCACAGGGCGAAGAGGGCATCCTCTGACCGCTCTGGCTTCTTCCGGCCAGAAGGGTTTGAGGCTGGGGCAGGAGCCTCCATGGGGGGCGAGGGGAGGTCAGGAACCATTTCAGCCGCTTTGGCTCTTTCTTCAAGGAATTTATCAAACTCTGCAATACAAACCAAGGCAAGGGTCAAGGTTGGTGAGGGCCGGCCACCAGAGGAAGCGCACCCTTCCACTCCTCAGCCTGTTTCCTCCTCTAGGGCAGGCATGAAGCCCACCCAGGAGCAGGTGGGTGGGGAGGCCTTCGTAAGCTGCAGTGTTGGGGGAGGGTCCCGGGTGTGCCCAGCCCTCCGGCCCGGTAGGGAAAGGCTCTGGAAAACACAGCCCAGAGCGCTCACCCGACCACTGACCATTTTCCAAATCAGCACTGGGTTTTGTCCATTTTGTCCAGTTTGTCCATTTCCAGTTTTGTCCATTTTCCAGATCAGCCCCGGGGGTGGGGCAGGGTAAGCTGGAGGGGCCAGCTCCTGATTAACCAGGCAGGAACCATCCCACCTCCCCTACCCTTGCCCACCAATGGGGGAGACTGACGAGATGCTGAGGAAGGCAGTGGGGAGCGGGGAAGGCCCCATTTATATGGGCATCCAGAGCTAGGGAACAGGGTCCTCTGAAGTTTCCCTCCCTGCACAGCGGTCTGGTCACAGGGTCTGGCAGACTTGGGGAGGGGGGACAGGAGCACGGAGAGGCAGGTGGAGCGGGGCAAGATGAGCTCGGGGAGGCAGGATGTGAAGGGCAGGGGATGTGGGGGTAGCCACGTGGGAGAACTAAGACCTCAGAGAGGCTCCTCCCTTCTGGCTCAGTGGCCCAAGGGTCCTGATGCGCACCCCCACAAACTGCGCGTGTCTGAGCTGGGCTGAGCACCTGTGGGTCGGGACCAGGTGGCAGTCTGCACCTGCTATTCACCAGCTCTGCAACTTTGTGGAAGTCACGTGTTCTTTCCGACCTCTGTTTCCCAATAAGCAAGATAAATCACACTTCCTAAATCAGCATAAGACCCGGGTGGGACCAAGCCAGCCGTGAAGTCCACGGCGCAGGGCCTGGCACCGGTAGGTGCTCTGGCAGCGGGGGCTCCAAGGTGATGGGGGCTGGCTCCTGTGCAGCCTGGGCAGGAGCAACAAAAGGGGGCTGTAAGGCCATTGGCCAGGCCATACCTTCACTTGTGACACCCTCCTCCAGGTCATCGCCCTTCTGTGGGAGGAGCAGAGAGAATGAAATTAGGGCAGTGGTCCAAGCACTGCCCGCCCAGCCACCTCTGTCTGCCCATGGCCACCCTAGGGCAGCACTGCCCAGGGCAGCCCAAACAAAACTTCCTAATTTCCCCTGTTTCCAGATTTCTGTAATAGTAAAATACTGCTCTTCTTATTGGAGAAACAGAAGCTTTGTTTCAAAAAAAAAAAAGCAAAAAAATTCAAATATGTTTTAGGTTTTGATCCTCCAGAAGGGCTGGAAAGAAAACTCCCAAAACGGTGCAGGCTGGTTCTCCAGCCTGGGCTGCGGAGGGCGGGACCCCACCTTCAGCACTCTTGAGGCTCTAGGGAGAGGCACAGAGCAGGAGCCACAGGGGGCTGAGCCTGAGCACACACAGGGTCACGTGTGCCCAACACAACACCCACTCGCTGCCAGCCACAGGGTTTCTGGGAAGAGGCTGTTCACACCAATAGCTGGAAACCGCACGAGGCCTGGATGGCTCAGGGCCACAAAGCCCACAGCACAGGGCCTGTCACTCAGGAGGTACTTTGGCAGTGGAGGCTGTGCCTCCAGAAGCCATGTCCTGCCGCCTCCTGGGAGCTGCACCAGCCTCCTCCTGTGGCCCAGATTCTATTACCTGCTGCTGGCTCCTGAAGGAACCATGGAGGTTCTGTGTACTCAAAAATTAAAGTGCATCAGATTTGATTTTGTTTGGAGAACACAGTAGTGTCTTGAGTTTACGGGGTTCCCTGGGGACTGGGGAAGAGCAGCATGTGCAGGGCCTCATTGGGAAGGGGCAGGATGGGGAAGCGACAAAGCCCTGGTCTGGGCTAGGAGACCTGGGTTCCTTCCTGGCTCTACCACTGACCTGCTATGTAGCCTTACTGGACACATCCCTTCCCTGTCTGGACCCTGGGGTCCCCCTTAGAAGTTAAGGACCTTGGTCCTTCCTGCCTTGCTTCTGTGAGAGAAGCAATTTCTTTTCGAGGCATCCCCTTGGAAAAGATGTCCTGGGGTGTGCTCTTCCTCCCTGACACCCAGGCAGCTGCCTTCTTTGGCAAGGCATGTGTTTGGAAAGCCTGACCTTCTGGGGAGGAGGCCCAGAGCAGCCAGAGGCCCCAACCTGAGGCCTGCTGTCCTAGTGTGGGAGGTGGCCAGGTCACCAGCCCAAAGACAGCCAGGCTGACCCTGTGCTTAAAGAACTCAACAGGCTCTTCTGCCTGGGGACCAGGCCCCCTGCAGAGGAGGCAGCTAGGAGGGAGATGAGGCGTCTCCAGCTCTGGGGGAGAATCCAACTACCCCATGACTCTGGGCAAGCCATTTCCCAGAGTGCACCTCTTCACCTGCCACCCTGACCCCTCCTGGGCTGCTGAGAGTGAAAGTGCTTTGTGAAGAACAGACGGAGGGCCAGCAGTTATCATGGGCAGCCACTGCAGCTCTCCTTTCTTGGGACCTGTTGCCATTTTCAGATGCGTAGTATCCTCATCTTCTAGCCCTATCTCTAGGATGGAGACAACGGGTCTTTGGGGCAGGGGTTCTTTTAAATCAAAAATCAGGAAGGGAGGAGGGGGATGACAGCGAATTAAAAACAAAAGCACTGTGTGTATACTTCACAATTAAAAAAAAAAGAAATGAAAACAAAAAACAAAACAAAACATGGTCCCCCCACACTCCCTCCCCCCAAAAACCAAAGCACGCACACACATCTGAAATGGAAAAGAAAATGGGGGGAAGGCAAGTGTATGTTTTGGAGCCGGCTAAGGCTAGGACTGTGTGGGTGAAGGAGTTGGTGCCCAGGGCCTTGCCCCAGCACAGCTGGCCTCCGCAGGCCTGGAGGCCGCCGCAGCACCCACAGCTATGGGTTGATGTCGGGGAGGAGGAGCAGCTATGGAGCTTGCCCAGACCTCCCTTCTCCACTGACCCAGACAGGGGTGGAGCCCCTGCTGATGCTCCCCCAAGGCCTGTCCTCAGAAGAGCCTCTGCCGCTCCATACCCCACACATGAAATAGAAAAGTCGAGTCTCACCAGGTCGGTCCTGAGCCACACCTCAATGTCGTCCATGACAGAGGGCTGCGCAACGGGGATCTATGGAGGCGGCAAGCAGCGGGCCAGGCAGCCCCCACACAGCCAGCGAGGGGAGACAGAACACCGGAACAAAGGAAATCATCAACAGCAACCCCAAATAAAACCAAAATGTACACAGAGCAAAAAAACACAATTGGCACAGCACACAGGGGCAACACAGGGCAGCCACGTGTGAGATGGCAGGTGAGGAAAGCAATGAGGTGCAAACGATAAGAAGCAGGCTGCCCAGCAGGGCCGGCGGTAAGGAAGGTGGCTGTACGCGTTCTTGAAATGGAGAACTTTTTGACTATGGGTGTCCACTCTCACGTTGCGGGGCCTCTCAGCCCGGGGCTGCAAAACACCTTCTAACCTCAGGAAGGCGCTGCCATGCAGGCTGATTTTGAACTCAGCCACTGTGACAGTCCGCTGTCAAGCCCAACCCAGGGGAGGCCAAGTGACGGCCTGCCCAGAGCAGGGTACAGGTGCTCAGAGGGCAGGGCGGCACCAGCCCTGGGGGATGCAGGGGGGTCTGTTTGCTCAGCTGAAGAGATTTTGAAATGCATCCTGGTGCATTTCTGAGTGGAGAGGGGAACTGGAGGAGGTGCGTGCTCCGTCGGGCTGGGTGTGGCCTGGGAGACAGAGACAGGAACATCTTACCATCAACAGAAACAGAGCAAAAATGAGGGCTCTGATGACAAAGGGGACTATGGGGTTCTAGTCTTCTTTGTGTCTCTTTACGGGAAATTCATGAAGCAGCCCTGAAAGCAACAGCTCCCTTTAGTCTCGTCCTTTCTTCCCTGTGTTCAATGGCTGGCTGTGCTTCAGGAGTCAAAGAAACAAAGTTCAGCCGAGCACTGGGACACCGCAGCCAGAGCCAGGGAGGTGGCAGCTTCCAGGCAAACTAAGGTGTACCACGGGGGTGCCTGAACAGTCACCTTGCTTGGGCCCCTGTGCCAAGCACCTCAGGGACAGAGACTCTGAAAAATCCATGTGGCTAAGAAGGTTTAAGTTGCTGTCAAATATGACCTGATAAGAAGTGAAGGTAAACTTTAACTCCCCAGAAGCCATGTTAATGGAATGTTGGCTCCAGCCTAGAGAAATGAGGCGATGGCCCTTAATCACCTCCTCGCCTACCCTGGCTCTGGGAGGTTCCCTTTCAGGGCTCACTTGCAAGACCCCTATTTCTATAAAACAATGCCAGCACTGGGTCTATAGCTGGCTTCACCCAATGCCATGATCTAGGGTAAGACTAAAGTAAAAATAAGCAGTAAAAGGAATACCCCAGGCCGGGCGCGGTGGCTCAAGCCTGTAATCCCAGCACTTTGGGAGGCTGAGACGGGCGGATCACGAGGTCATGAGATCGAGACCATCCTGGCGAACACAGTGAAACCCTGTCTCTACTAAAAAAATACAAAAAACTAGCCAGGCGAGGTGGCGGGCGCCTGTAGTCCCAGCTACTTGGGAGGCTGAGGCAGGAGAATGGCGTAAACCCGGGAGGTGGAGCTTGCAGTGAGCTGAGATCCAGCCACAGCACTCCAGCCTGGGCAACAGAGCAAGACTCCGTCTCAACAACAACAACAAATAAATAAATAAATAAAAGGAATACCCCAGTGTCCATCAAATGTAAAAAATAACACGACCTTCACAAAGAAAAAGAACAAAGAACACACATCACCAGCAGTGATGTGACAGCTCCAGTGCTGGAGGTTGACACCTGCTGCTGATGATGGGGGAGGGTGGTCTGGGGCCCCAGGTGGAGTCCAGCACTCTGAGCAGGTATCTGCGATGCCACCAGAGCTCTTCGCTCCCTCAGTGAGCTTGGCTGGCCCCTTGCTCTGAGGAATGTGCTCTGTGTCCTACCTTCGGACCCAGTGTGGGAAGCCCACAAGAGCACTTTCAGAAAGGCCCAAGCCAGTCACTGATCAGATTAGGAAATGTCTGTGTTGCCCATTATTTCTTTGACTTACTGGGGACTTAAGAATGTTGAATTGAGCAGGGCATGGTGGCTCACTCCTGTAATCCCAGCACTTTGGGAGGTTGAGGAGGGTGGATCGCCTGAGGTCAGGAGTTCGAGACCAGCCTGAGCAACATGGAGAAACCCCATCTCTACTAAAAATACAAAATTAGCTGGGTGTGGTGGTGTGCGCCTGTAATCCCAGCTACTAAGGAGGCTGAGGCAGGAGAATCACTTGAACCCGGGAGGCAGAGGTTACAGTGAGCCGAGATCACGCCATTGCACTCCAGCCTGGGCGACAAGAGTGAAACTCCGTCTAAAAAAAAAAAGAAGAATGTTTAATTGAAAAGGTATCAGGCGAGTCTTATCACCCAGAACTGAAGCTTAGAAAGCCAGAGGCATCTCCAGAGAGAAAACGCCCCACACTAGTGGTCAGAGTGCACACCAGCCCTTTTTTACACCTGACCAGCTTTCGTCCACTTAGCAGAAACTGAGATTAGATGTCCTGAGCTTTCCAATGTGTTGCAAAAGCTAGAACAAAGACATTAAGGGGTCAGGGGCCTTAAACCTTCAGATTTTTCTTGTTAATTGTTTTGTTGATGTTAAAGAACAAATCCCTTGAGGCCTTGGGTCATACTTTAATTTTCTTCTTTGGGGATTAGTCTCGAGAGCCAACATGCTCAGAAAATAAACAATGACACTTAAGAAATTCCTCACCCCCTCAAAAATAATTTCCCAAAAGCAGGATCATGGGAACCCTTTTCTTCCCTGTCCTAGATTATTCCAAGTAATTGGTATATTTATGGAATGGCATCCTCCAGCCCAAGCCCTAGAGGGCAGACTGAGGAGGAGAGGGCACTGGGTGGGGTCCATTTGGGCCCTCGCACTCACTGGTGGCAGGACTTGGGGTGAGTCACTCCTCTCCGGACCCCACTTTCTTCACCAGAGAGCTCCCGAGTTTCTTCTATCCTAAGAAGCCTCAGAGATTTGGGTGGAGAGGCAGGAGCAGGGGACAGAGGCCTGAGCAATGTTTGGCTTCAATTTCCTCATCTGTGAAATAAGGCGATTGCTAGGTTGTATTTGGCTTTCAATTCTTATGATTCAGAAGAAGAAAGTTATGACTTCACTTTCAGGTTGGTGCTTCTGTTTTCTAATTTAGAAACCCAGGGATGTCAGAAATTATTGGAATTGACTCATTACAATATGGAAGCCACTTGGCCTCAGGGCATGAACCATGGTGAAGCAGGGTGATGGTTAACAGTTAAGCTTACATAACGTAAGCTTAAATTGACTTTCTTGTGGCTGGACACAAAACCTTAGCTATCTAAACCTGTTGTCCTGGTAAATAAATGCCTTGAGTATTATAACAGGGCAAAGTTCCTTCTAATAATGTAGGTGCTATCAGACTCAGACTAAACATGTACACTGCTTAGAAAATATGAACTAAAGAAACTGTAGGAGGCCGAGGACGCGCGCCTTGTCAGGCTGATGGGAGGGAAGTGGGGCCCTGGCTGGAGGAGGGGGCACTGCACTGAGTCTTAGGGGACTCTGTTTCTTCGCTGCAGCTTTGGGCGAGTCACCAGGCCCCTAGGAGACCTCAGCGTCCTCATCTGTCAGACTAGGGGCTGGCCCAGCAGATTCCTAAGAAGACTGTTGGCTCTGATATATCATAGTTTTATTTTTATTTTTATTTATTTATTTATTTTGAGACAGAGTCTTGCTCTGTTGCCCAGGCTGGAGTGCAGTGGTGTGATCTCGGCTCACTGCAACCTCTGCTTCCCAGGTTTAAATAATCCTTGTGCCTCAGCCTCCTGAGTAGCTGGGATTACAGGCGTGAGCCATCACACCTGGCTAATTTTTTTTTTTTGTATTTTTAGTAGAGACAGGGTCTCGCCATGTTGGCCAGGCTGATCTCAAACTCCTGGCCTCAAGTGATCCGCCCAGCTCGGCCTCCCAAAGTGCTGGGATTAAAAGTGTGAGCCACTGCACCCAGACTGACGTGCCATAGTTTCAGCATTTTACTGGGTAATGATCCAAGCTGAAGGCTGGTCTGAGGGATCTGAAGGAGAGTATGAGTTGGAAGAGAGGGACAGAAAGGAAGAAGACATGTGAAGAGAGAAAAGGAAGGAAGCTAGCATAGGAATGCCCTCCAATAGAGACTACTGCCTGAAGCTCAGCCCCTCTGAAGATAGGTAGGCCAGGCTGGCTTGGCTGAGGCAGTGGTTAGACCAGCCCTTCCCATTTTCAAAGTCCATAGACAAGCATCTTGGATGTCAGAAGTCACAGGTTTTGATCTGAGCGGCAGGTGAGCCATCCTGCTGTCAGCTGACTCTCACTTGGAACTGCAGGCAGGGGCAGCTCTGCCTCAGGGTCAGGAGGGAGGGTTGCCAGTCCAAGGAGGAGAGGTGTGTCTGTCTGGTACTCCAGGGGTTAGGATTATCCTTCCAGAGTAAGAGGAGCCTTGGGGGCCTCCAGGTCTGAGGAGGGAGTCCTGCCCTCCAAACCCAAGCCTGGGTTTTGGCAGCAGCACTCTTTACTAACCTACCTCTGTTCTTGTTTTGACTTAGATTCTCTCACATGAGGATATCTTCCTGGCTGCACCCTGCATAAGGGAGACAACCCTAGCTGATCACCAGCCAGGAGAGGCAAAAAGACCTTACACTAGAGAGGCCAGGGAAGGACAGCACAAGCCTAGCAGTCTCCCTGAGAGTCGCCCGGCCCTAGCCCATTGACAGATCTCATTTCTCTTCAACCAGTAATGAGCCTGGTGGTGTCAGTTAACTTCTGTGTTGGCTATCCAAACACCTGAATCCCAGGAGCATAAGGGTTCCACCCGATGCTCCTCTGCAGGTTCCCACAGCCCCACGCCCACAAGGAAACCCACCTGTCCAGTTTTCAATGCAACAAGAACAACTTCTGCAGCTCAGGTGTGCTATTTCCAGAGAAGCTGTGAATCCCTTCCTATGACACTTCAAGCACCACCCCACTGGGACGGCGTCTAAAAGCCTTTGATCTCACTCAACAGTACAAAAAGTTTCCAAGTAAAGAATTTGTACTCGGGAGGTTT